CCAGAAAAGTTAGTCGAGGCACGTGGACATCGGCACGTTTTAATTAGCGCCGCAAATTGCAGGTCACGGCGTAATTAAATTATTTAAATTGCTAATTTTCGCCAAACAGGGAGGATGGAAGAGAAAATTGTACAGCAAGTGCTAAAATGGAAAGTGCTAAACACTTGAACGTGTTTTAAAGTTGTCAATGCGACGACTGCGACTACAATAAATAATAATCAACGCATTTCTGAGGGAGCAAACTCTCTTAACATTTCAACAAGGCGAATAGGAAATTTGTCCAGGACACGCAGGAAGTTGCTGTGGAAATGTATCTCGCATCCGCTGAGCTTCTTTGGCACACTTTCAGGCCAACTTTTGTCAGAGGCAACAACTTTCCTTGGGCAACTTTGTTTGTTTGGGGTTGTCCAGGAAAATTTGTGAAGGGAAGAAAATGAGGAGGGGCAATGCAACATTAACACGGTTATCTATAATTTACACGCACAGGGGAAAAGTGGAGGAGCCTTCTTAACTGCCGTGATTTCTGGCTGCCTGATGCACATTTATTGTGCTATTACTTTGTGGCCCGTGGATGTCCTCTGCCCATCCCCAAAAGGCAAACGACTTTTCTCCCTTGAGTGTTTTTTTACGTGTCCTGGTTTGGCAGACAAAAAAGTTTTCAGATACAATAAAGGTCGAAAAAATAGCACTGATTATTGTTATTTTATTTTCTTGGGCAATGGTCTCTAAAAAGTTATGTTTAGTTTCAAAATTAAATTAAGAGAATTTATCATTTAGCTTAACCAAGATTTTAACAAAATTGATATAAAAATAAAAGAATAAATAAAAAAGAAACCGAATCATATTTTTTCAAAAATAAAACTGATACATCTTAAACATTTTTTTTTAATATATATCGTTTTAATAGCATATTAAATAAGAGTTATGCTCTATCATTTTACCGCTTGCTGTATATAAACTTTTATATTTCACCCAGCAAAAGATTAATTGCCCACTGCCCCAGCTCCCCGAACTTGGCAAATATATTTAGTGCCGAGATTTATGGGGCTTCATTACGACCACCCATCACGGTCCCTAAGAAAGCACCCCGAAAGAAATCTCACACCCCCTAGAGAGCAGCGGGATGTTTGCTCTATGTATATCGAACATTTTGGTCAGACAATTAAAAAAATTGTCCCTATTTCGCCATATCTTTTTGTCCCTGTTGGGGTTTCTTTTTATTGTTGTCATAGCAGCCGACTGCCAAATGAATATTTAATATCACCCCCATCTACAACCTCACCCCCTCAATGGCCTTCGGGATATCGAACGGCAAACAGCAAGTTCAATGTCAAGTTTGTCTCGTACCAAGCGGCGTATGCGTTATTTTTGTGCTGCATGTTTACCCTGAGTCCGGCTTTTATTTATGGCCTCGTGTGTATTTTGAGCTAATAATCGGGGAAAATCAACATAGGCAAAAAAAGAGAATAGGAAGAACAATAAAGCAAGCAAAAAGCTTGCTGTTATTTATGGCAATTATATTTACCCATAAAAATTTGCCAATTAATTGGATTTCGTGGTGATGGAGGTTTTCGACATGAGAGTAGAAAACGCCTTTAAATATTTATATGGGAGAAAATGGCTGGCGGCTGGGCTGCCTAATAAATAAAGGAATATAAATAAATACTCATAACAAGAAAGGAAAGCTAACTTCGGGCGGAGCCGAAGTTGATATACCCTTGCTGAATACTCTGTAAATTATATTCTCCAAAATTATTCATATGATGCATTCTTAATACTCATAAAAAATCCCAACTTCCTAACTTTAAAAACACCAAAGTTATGGCATTTCCAATCGTTCAGTTATATGGCAGCTATAGGATATAGTCGGCCGATCCATATGAAAATTGGTAGGTCTGATTGATTGGCCAAATATAAAACCCATAGAAAACCCCAACTGCCTAGCTTTACAAACACCAAAGTTATGGCATTTCCGATCAATCAGTTATATGGCAGCTATAGGATATAGTCGGCCGATCCCGGCCGTTCCGACATATATACTGCGTGCAAAGGAAAGAAGGGTGTGTGCAAAGTTTCAATTCGATATCTTTAAAACTGAGAGACTAGTTCGCGTAGAAACAGACAGACGGACAGACAGACGGACAGACAGACGGACAGACGGACAGACGGACAGACGGACATGGCTATATCAACTCAGGAGGTGATCCTGATCAAGAATATATATACTTTATAGGGTCGGAGATGTCTCCTTCACTGCGTTGCACACTTTTGACCAAAATTATAATACCCTCTGCAAGGGTATAAAAATATGTAGCCGCTAGAAATACGTTCAAATCAAAAACATGCTTTTACTTTAACAAAAACTTACAAAAAAAAACTAAAATTGTTTAAATATACAAAGTAAATTTTCTAAATTAAACATAATAAGCGTAAAAAATCAGTTATGTCTTACATGAAAAAGAAATTACATCTTCTTTTTATCACTTAAGAATTAAATTTTCATTAAGTAAAGTTTTTGTTAGCTTAAATGAAATAAACAAAACAATTGAAATTTTTTTAAGGACCAGCAGTTTAAAACGTAAAAGACCAAAAATCATTTGCAGGTCAAGCATGAGCCGCCCAAAACGCCCTGGGGGATTTTTGGGGAAAACATGTTTGAAGAACTGTCAAAAAATTTCATATTTCACTTTGTTTGTGTCAGTTGACAAATGTTCGAAATTGACAGCCGTAAGAAATAAAACGAATTAAAGCGAAAGATGGATGGAGAAAAGCAATTCCAGGTTTTGTGTGGCTTTCAATGATTTAAACCTCAAAAATCAAGTAACCTGGCCCACATAAATTTGGTAACTATATTCTTTGCAGGGTAAAATTAGAGGTAAATATTTAACAACTGATATAAAAATAGTACTTTAATTAAAATACGTAATTTTTAAAACTGTAAGAATACGCCTACGGAAAATAAATACCAATTCTAACTATTAGAAATCGTTTGTTTTGGCTAAGAGCTCTAAGAAATTATAGAGCATAACTAAGGAGAAAACTGCATGCGGTTGGTATATGTCAACATTTTTCTCTGTGTGCCACAGAAGGTTGGAAACTCCCACACACATAAAAATCTTTTCATCATGGGGCAGGTCAGTGAAAATGTTGGACATGTCAAAAGAGGCAGAGAGAAATCAAACAAATTGCTGTGGATGTACTACAATTGAAACCGTTAGCTGGGGGGCGTAGTGGGCGTGGTACCCTAACAATGCTCAGTTGGAAAATAAAAAGCAACAGATACAGGTTGGTTGACTTTGAGGCCTTTATGTTAATTTCTGATTCATTCCCAGTTTGTTTTCCCCCATATCTGCGCTTTATGGAAACTCACTCAAGTGCAACAGCACAGGAGTGGCGAGCGTAAGAGCAAACGTGCTGTGATTTAATTTTTCTGGGACGGTCGGCGGCAAACAAAATAATAACAACATAAGGGGCAGCGGGAAAATGTGGGGGGAAAACTCAATTAAAATGCACAAAGCCTCTCGTCTCGCCTGACCTCTCGTTTTGCTCCTTTCCATTCCGAGGACAAGCAATTATCGTTGTTGCTGCTCACGTATGTGGATCAAAAAATGCTTCAAGTTAAATTGAATTTGTTATTAAAACCCAATTTGACTTGACGCATTTTGATGACATATCCTCTTCCAGCTTCAGACGCTAACTTCAATTTCAAATGCAGACGAAGGAAATAAGTTGACGATGCCGCGAAATTCCATTTCCCCCCTCTTCCCATATCTAACACATGGCAAACGAGAAATTTTCATAACAACAACCGAATATTTTTTCGCATAAACATGCAAATTTCTCACTTAAACCCAGAACTCATTCCTTTCCCCCCGTTGCACTCATCTTCTCGATGAGTAATTTGCATGTAAATATATATACACTCGTTTATATGGTATTTTTCCTGTTTGCTTTTTAGCATTTGTTCATGAACTTCGTAGTTGACGAGAAACAACAAACTGTCATACAAAGCTTTGCCATTGTTCAAGGAAATTTTCGCAAAACGATAGAGGGACGGTGAAAGAAGCACCAGACTATTGCCTGTCAAGTGAGTGACTAACAAGTTTCGTTTACAACGCATCTACACTTGAAAAGAATTTATTTACCTTATACTCTTTAAATTATTATAAAGAATAATTTATAAAATATTGATATTTAAGCTCTAAGTTTACAAAAGTAAAATGTATTGTATTATCTGTAAATATTTTCTGATAAACCTAATCTAATATTTTTCAAATAAGATAATGGCCAAATGACTCTTCCTTAAAACATTTATATAATATAACCTGCTTGGCTTGTTAAATATTTTATTTTTAATATTTGCTAATATAATTTTAAAAATATTATAGCTATATTTCTCTGCAGGCATTATTGTTCTCACTCAAATTTCATTGCGCTCTGGGGACGTTTTGATTTATGACCAAATTGAAATAGCGAACAACAAATTTACGTAATAATTCTGTGGAAAAACGCACAGCCAAATCGTGTATTTAGGTAAAGAAATATATACAGCTATATTTCAACGAGTCGTGGAATAATTAGATTTTATATGTGGGAAAACGAACACCACATGAAAGTGAATCGACACACGTGTCTGTCGGTAATAATGCAAAACAAACGCTTTATGACTTAATGTAAAACAAATGCCCCATGACTTTATATACGTGAATATAATGAATCACAGGCATTATGAACAGTTGTTCATTTTTGGGTGACTAAAAGCTGATAAATCCATAAAAAATATTGAGAGGGCGGACATTTTATATAAAAAATATGAAAAAGGTTAAGTAAAAGGTTAGGTAAAGCCTCAAAATACCATTAAGCAGCTTAAAATGTTTTCTGATAATTCAAATGGTATTAAAGCATTTAATTATTTGACTTTATTATATGCTGGGCTGGTTGCATTCGGGTTTGAAACGTTTGTTTATTATTTTGTCTTTAATCTTAATCCTCTTTTTATGAGAATTTTATTAATTTAGATAAATTTAAAACCTATTGTGCATATAATCATCGTGACTTTTTATCATCCGAGAGGAGAGTTCCTTAACATTTTTGAATAATTATTTTCTTATAATATTTTTTGCTCTTACAGGATCTGTCAAGTCATGTGACCGCAAAAAAAGATCCCCTGCAGTATATGAATTTGCCAACTTCATTCAATTTCTGGCATGACTAGCTGATGTTGCTACTGCGACTGTTGCTGCTGTGGCTGGTGTTGCTGTTAGCCGTGTTGCTGATGAGCCATGGCAACAAGCTGTTGCTGCCATGAGTTGGCAAAAGACTTCGCCTTGAGTCTGCCAACGCAATAAAGCAATATTGAAATTGCTTTTGGCAAACACTCAATTGAAAAGGACCTATTGAATTGCCCACCCAATGAACTCGTAACCCAAAGTGCAACATAGTTGTGGGAAATTGTGTGGAATAACTTCATGTCAGAGAAATAAATATGTGAGCAGAAACACTGGCTCATTTAAATCAAATTCCCACAGGCAACATCAATTATGTGGAGCAGCAACAAGTGCCTGGCTGTAGGATCCCCCTTTTCTCCATTCCTGTGGAAAATTGCCTCCGGTGCGACAGCAGCAACAACTTCAATGCATTTTTAGCCTCTTTTTTCGCTACCTTTTTACACAATTTACATTTTTTGCAACTTTGCATGCAATGGGCGTGATTAACAACTTCCCTTTTTGGCCGAGAAGTGAAGTGGATGAAGGCAAATTGCCTTGATTCACTTGGTTAGGCATTGAAATTGACACTTTCGAGGCAACCTGGCTAAAACGATAATTGCCCGACAGCGAAGGCAAAAAGAGACTACGCTATGCGTAATGGAATTAATGATTGGCACACGGATTGTTATGAAAGTCTGCATCCCAACATGGTAAAATAAAGTCTTAGATTACAAAACAATAACTGGAAGGAAGTGAGTCAATGGGAGTGGTTAACTTGTGGGTTTTCTTTGATTGATTTTTTTGTATTTTATTAAACGTGACTGGTCAGGCACTTACAAATCACATCATAGTTGGATTAATCTTATATAAACTGTATTAACCGCAATCAAATCTGTTTACTTGCTTCCCACTATGTCTATTTATACTTTTCTATTAGAGCTAATCTACATAAAGTTAGGTTATTGTTTACTTCTAATTATCTATCGAAATATTATATTTTTTATTTGGCACCTAACTTAATCTGTTGTCAAGCATTCACCTTATATTCTACCCGGAGATGCGTAACCGCCTTGCAAAACATTGCCCTAAGTTCCATTGATAATGTTTCCAATCAAAATCCATTGAAACAAAGCTTATGACGCTGCGATTTTATAAAGTCTATTCTTATCAACCAATATAATAAATCAGGGAACATTTGTCGGAGAGGAAAAAATATATAATAAAAGAAGTGAATGCAGAAAGATTGTTGCATCTTCAACAGATGAACAGAACAATGAGGGATTACAATATATTAAAGGTAAAGAATAGTTAATGCCACTTAATTTGTTTCCATATTTCAGATTCGCGCAAATTTCTTACGATTCAATTTTACCATTTATTTTAAAAATGTCAAAAAATAAAATAGCCTTTTAGACAGCCGAGGCTCTTGTTAGTCTTATATACCCCTCTGAACATGGGTATATTTTTGGGTACAAAAACTTGCCCCAGACTTTGATAATAACATGGTACAGCCCTGCGGCTGTATAAATTACTATCAGGACGCTCGGCCATAAAGAGAGACAGGGAGATAACTGGCCCAGTATGTGATAGCATGCCTGGAATTTTTTTCGTTTTTTTTTCTCCCGATTATGTTCGAATTTCGCTTTTGTTATTTTGGTCAGGCAAGATTGACTTGCAGTTGTCAGTGGCCAGACAAGAAGAGCGGTGAGTCGATCGCGACTTTCGATTTCGTTCGGCATCTTCGTCATTATCATTTATAATATCATTATCATCCTCAGTGGGACTGCCAACTCGCAGTAATTATCTGCCATCGGGGCAGACGTCCTCAGAATCGGCTTTAGTTTTTCAGTGCCAGCAGTCTGTCAAGGCCCGTTGTCGTCGCAACATCTACGACATAATGTGGTTGCTCCTGCCTATTCTGCTGTATTCGGTGGTATTCCTCTACGTGCGGCACATTTACAGCCACTGGCGGCGCAGGGGATTCCCCTCGGAAAAGGCCGGGATCACATGGAGTTTCCTGCATCAGGCATATAGACGGGAATTCCGACACGTGGAGGCCATCTGCGAGGCCTACCAGGCGGGCAGGGATCGTCTGCTGGGCATCTACTGCTTCTTCAGGCCCGTCCTTCTGGTGCGAAATGTGGAGCTGGCCCAGACGATTCTGCAGCAATCGAATGGACACTTCAACGAACTCAAATGGGACTATGTCAAGGGTTATCGACGGTTCAATCTGCTGGAGAAACTGGCGCCAGTCTTTAGTGCTAAACGATTGTCGGAGATGTTCGGGCAGGTCCAGAAAGTGGGCGATCATTTGATTCACCACTTGATGGACAAGGAACAACTACAAGGAGGTCATTTGGAAGTGGATCTACAGCAGATATTGCGAATGTAAGGATTTTTTTGAATCCCAGGGATTATATATAATTAAAATATATTTATTATAGTTATTCCATTAACATTATTGGTAATCTCATTTATGGTGTGGATGTCAACAACTTTGAGCAAAAGGATCACATCCTGACCAGCTACCTGAGTCATAGTCAGGCATCTTTTCAATCCTTGTAAGTACTCCTTAACAAATTCCCCACTTAAAATATAACTACCCAAAGCTTAATCCCATTTTTAGCACATTGAGTCGCCTGCCTCAGAAATCTTCATTTACCTATCGCTTAAGGGATCTCATAAAACAAAGTGTCGAATTACGCGAAGATCATGGACTGATACGAAAGGATATTCTTCAATTACTAGTTAGATTCAGAAATGGCAATGAAGTTGGTGGCGATAATTGGCAGCTGGAAACAAATAATGGTAAGCTCTAAATATAAAATTGTAAATATAAAATATTCAATTGTTTATTCGAAGATCCAGACAAACTTTTGTCCATCAAACGCTTGGCTAAAGTGGCCGAGGACCTTTTAAAAGTATCCCTAAATGCCGTGGCCTCCACTATCACCTTTACGCTTTTTGAAATCCTTCAAGAACCATTAATAGTAGAGAAACTTCAAGCTGAAATTAAGGAACTAAGCAATGAAAATGGGCAGCTTAAGTTTGAAGAACTGGATAGCCTTAAATATATGGAAATGTGTCTGAAAGGTAAGTTAGGCTTTAAATTAATAGGAATTTATTAATAAACCAATTTGTTTAATCTTTTGCAGAAACTGTTCGCAAATACCCGCCTTTACCCATTATTGAACGCATTTGCCGTAAAAGTTATTCACTGCCCAATTCGAAATTTATAATAGACGAAGGAAAGACATTAATGGTTCCTTTGCTGGCGATACACAGAGATGAAAAGTATTTCAGTGAACCAATGAAATATAAACCTCTTCGATTTCTGCAATCTGAAAATGATGTGGGACAATGCAAAGATAAAACTAAGACCAACGCTTTCATAGGATTTGGGATTGGCGGTGCTCATTGTGTCGGTATGTGAATGTTACCAACTCCGTTACTAAAATATATTAAAATATTTTCATTCCTAATAACAGGTCAGAACTTTGCCAAGTTGGTAATTAAAGTGGCTCTGATCAAACTTCTGCAAAACTTTCACATGGAATTGTATCCCAACTTAACTGAAACCCTTGAAGTTTCTCATCAACCAGCTCCCTTTATACACACAAAAGATGGACTAAAAGTCAAATTGAAGAGACGCGAAATAAAACCGAAATTTTATCGTTAAACTAAGGTAGGGTAGGTATGCTCTTTAAGCTGTTAAGTCCTTTAATTTGTGCATCTTTTTCAACACTTTGTCGTCTGTACGCGACACCTGAAATTATGCTATAAATAAAATTCAGTATATTATGGACACAGTTTTCCCTTCTTGTTGCTGTTGTTTCCGTCTGCTCTTGTTTGCTTCGTTCGCTTCGTTAACTTTTGCAAAATGCCAAAAGGTCCTGGGGCACACGGTGCGTATACGTAACGTCACACAACGGCAAACTCGCAGCATTAAATTAGTCATTCCTATGTGCCTACGTTGTTGTTGTTTACGCCAACACGGATATATTCTGGTGAGAAAGGGGGGGGAGATATCATCTCGGGCGGAAAAGACATGTGCTTCCATTCGAGTTTATCATTAAATTTGATTTGCTTTGTTGCCAATCCAACATGACAGCCGACTGGATACCGATATTGTCGGGCCCCTTCTTTACTCTCCAAAAATATGTTAAAGTCAAGTCCGTCTGTCCATTTCAAGTACTCATCTTATTTGGCTAACACTCAGAAAAAAAAAACATAAAACAATAATAAATGACTTGCAGAGAATAATCAAAACAAAAATGCAAATAGCTTAAAATGTAATAAGACAATAATAATGTTAAAAAATTAAAAACAAAACAAATAAATGTTATTAGTCAGCAGCTTGCAAATTTGTAAATCATGAGTTTCAAAAAACATATATTTTTATATTTTTTATAGGACACTTTTGTCGAAAATTTGTTAAGCAATGATTGACCCAAATTTTTTGGCGACTAGTTTCTTTTCCCTCAGTGTGGCAATCCAGATCGAGGAGTAACAATAAGGGCCAAGAGGCGCCTCTAATGATGCCGCAATTAGGCCGCATTATGGACACATTTATCATCCACAGACCGGGCCGGAGAAACGGAAAAAGAGATAGAGATGTCACAAACAAATGACTCTAATGAGTGCGTAAAGTGTTTTACATTAATGAAAACTTTTCGGCCAACCCCAAACCAAAAAAAAAAAACAAAACCCATCAAACTAATTGAGCCTGAGCTGGAGCTAAGCATTCGGGGATAAATGACCCGGAAAGTGTCCGAAAATCGACAGCAAACTTTACGACTCTTGCTCTGGCCAAAGTATTAAAATTGAAAATTGAAATTCAATCAAACGAACAGGGGTTGTAAGAGTCATGGGGCAGCCCAGACAATTTAAGGCCCGGGATCCAACAACCGGATAAAATCCACCGGCACGGGCCCGACTACACGACAACAGGAGCAAGTGGAGCTCTTCACATGTTTTGACCCAGTTTGCTGGCGAGGCAAGTGTCGAATATAAATTGCATGAGATAGCCCTGGAGATGGCGAGAGATTCCGAGGCAACTCCCTTTGGCGCAATCTTGGCTGCCATTGTCCTGGTTACATTTAAACATTACTCAGTCCACATTAAGCGGTCAGAGCGGCAGCCCTGCCCGAAAAACCGCAAAAGTAAAGTAAAAAGTAAGTACAAAGTTGCCTTCATCGCCGGGCATAAATTATGCCCCGCGAAAAGCATACAATTTTCATTTCTCCTCGCTTAAATTATGATTTATTTTACCCATGGGACATGCTAATTGTTCATGTAAAGTTGTTCTCCCAATTAGGGTTATTAACTTACCATAATTTCAAGATCTGTTTTCGGGGTTAACTGCAAGGAGATAGAAAAACAAAAGTAGAATTAATTTATCAAATATACATTTATGGTGTTGTGTTATTGAACTTTTGCTTTAAAAACGAAATCAGATTTACACTTGAACAGCAGCTAAAGAAAGATAAATTTGTTACAAGCAACAAATAGACTGACACAAAAGGTTATCGGTGCAGGCTTTAATTACCCAATTGACATATGACTTTTTGTTTGGCTTTTATTGTTTTTGCCTGGCCAACGTTGTGCAACAGTTGTGGCTGCTTAAATAAAATCACTTTAAATACATTTAAGTGGCTCAACTATGGGAAGTGTTTGTTATGTGGCTAGCAAATAGAAACTTAAGCGTTTTGTTTCGTTCAATTTAAGCCCACAAATATTCGGAATATTTGCATAATAAAACAAAAAATTTCTTTGCATAACAAAGAAGATCTAATAAATTACGAGGCCGTTATTTAAACAGATTTCTACTGCTCAGAGAAATTTGTATAGTAAAGTCATGTAATAAATTTTAAAAAATGGTTATAACTAAAATCGCATTTTTGCATTGCTGAGATGAATAATTGAAAGCTTTATTTTGTGTTTTAATGGCTTTCTTCAATTCAAAAAGATTTTCTTATAATTTTTTTTGTCAGATTCCAAAAATTTTTTTAGATTCTTTTGCTTTAGTTTTCATAAATTTAGTTCTTGTTTTCCTCAACACAGCAATTATGTTCGCTAATTGGATGAGAAGTTTTCTCGTTCAAAAACTTTCCCACTTGCAGCGTGGCTAAGACAACAATTTAATTGGCGGTCATCTCATGTGTTTATATGTGACATCTTTACACTTCTCCCCCTCATTTCAGAATTCCCCCAATTGTGCTCCAAAAAAGATAAAGTAACAGACGACCTCGGAGGGTCAGCAGTAATAAAACTAAATAAATGTTGGCCTTTAATTGTGCTCTCTGGGTTTTTTTTATGAATATTTGTTTAACAGTTAAAAGTGGCAAGGGTGCGAGTGTGCAAGTGTGTTTTTGTCGTGTATGAAGATTATCATCATAAAGAGCTTGAAGAATAATGAATTAAAGGGGAACATCATGGAAACTGTGCGAGAAAATAGCAGTTAAACGTTTTCTTAAACACTGGTAATTTTATAACACCGATTTTATTACGTAATATATTCTGTAAATTTCCATAAGTCATAATCAAAAAGTAAAATTTTTGTATTGCTTGGTATTTTTGTCAGTTTAGAAAAATTGTTATACATCCGCCATAATAAATATGTAAGGTTACATTTATTTGATTTATAATTTAATAATAATTATATTTTGTATGCCTCCAAAAATCGTAATATATTTATAATTTAAAATGCACTTTAGTTTATAAATGAAATCACAACAATTAAAGTATTTTTTGGCTTAAATAGGGTATGCAAATTTTGGTTTCATAAGTGCAGTTCCCAGTTCTATTTAAAGAAGTCCCACTGTCTGTGGTAAATATCCTCATGGCTTGGCTTGAGCTGGGTGGCAGTGTGTTCAGATGGTTTACTTTTTCAATTTGTGTGCGCTGCATTCACATAATTGCCACATGGAGTTGCATGATGCATCCGCCCGCCGCCCTTCAAACTGCACATATATGTACATACATATATAGATCATTTGCGATGGACGACATGATTTATTTCGAGGAGATGAGAAGAGGATGTTTGAGGATGCCGCTGGTGTTTGCGTGCAGCTGTTTATTGTTGTTATTGGCGGCTGTGTGCAGTTGCTTTAATTATTGTCAGCCAAACTGTCGCGGCCACCAGTCGCATGTGTAATTTGTTTGTCTGCCTCTTTTCTTTTATTTTCTTTTCTTCGGTCTACTTCGCCTCCTTTACACTATATTTTTATCTGTTTCCGACTTTTAATTAATTTATACGTCTGTCATTTTACCGGTCTACTTAAAAAGTGCATTGCATTCGAAGAGGGCGTCACGCAAATTATTTTATTATCTTACATCAGAATGGTGCGTAAAGCGGTTACTGGTTTTTTTGTAAGGAACTCTAAAAGTTGACCTATTTTTTTTTAAAGATGAAACTGGTTATTAAGTGATCATTTATTGAACCTCCAATTATATCAACTGCTAATTTACTACAATCATTCATAACGATTTATAAATCGTGTAAAAAACTTATTTAAAACTTTTAACTGTTAAATTTATATTCATATTAATTTCCCTTTAATAATTACTTACATTTCTCTAACCAAACAACTAGTTTTGTACATCAGAAGCGTAACCTTCCTAATGGCCAAAATCATTTAGCCTTCATTTTCAATTACCCGGCGTAACGAACCGCCGAAAGCATTTATCAAAATGCCAAACTAGATAACTTAATTAAAGCCCGAAAATCAATCTGCATATATATGGGGCCTGACAAAATCAAAATCTGTGCAGAGCCCCACCCACTTAACCGCCCCACAAACAATGGGAAGCGGCAAACAACAACATCCGCTTATCGCGATAAATCAAAGCCACGAGTGTTGTTAATTTTCCAAGAAAATGTCGGATATACAAAGTTTTGGGGATAAAGGCGAAAAACGTGCGTGAATATGTGCGTGGTGGTAATAAAAGCAACTTAAATTTATGTTTTCACGGTAAAACAAAAAATTATCTTAAGCCAAAAAAGGGGGAGCTGGGAACTTCACTTTGGGGCCAACAGCATGCCAGTCATGTGTGAGTACATCTCATTTTTGTGGGCACGACCAGAGACTTGCTAATTCTAATTAAAAGCAACAGCAGCTGAGGGAAGTCTGCAACACACTCAAGCAGAAAATTATCAACTCCGCGGAGAGATCCGTAGATGAAGATATGGGGAGTTAACTAAACTTCTGCTTGGCTAAAAGATGTTGCTTGAATGCCACTAGAGAAGAAAAAAACCACGGGAAAAATGAACAAACCCCTGCCACCGTAGGCCAAAATTAAATTGTGCACATTTCCGTGGAGCGGAAATTGCCCAAGTTTGTCACTTGGAATGAGTACATACAGAATCTGAGATGTATATAATGGAATCAGCCAAATGCGGCGTTCGCCATTTATGTGTTTCCTTCCCGCAAAATTGAAATTCATATCATTCACTTTAATGCTAAATTTCTCCCATTCCAGAATTTACAACAAAACACGCACCCGCACAGGTGTAAATTATGTGTACAAATTTATGGAAGTTTTGGTTTACATTTTAAAGCCCCAAAGCGGTGAACAAAGCGTTTTGGCAGCCGTAATCATTTCCATTGCATTTAACCAGAAATTAGCGGATATTGTGACCTGTGTGCAATTTGCACAGATAATTAAATTAAATGCCTAATTAATTACCATTAGGGCCGTGCATCAACTGCAAATGTGCAAAATGTAATCCAAATGAACATGCCGCTGCACAGTTGCGCACGAAAGTTATTTAATTTATGATCGAATATAAATCAAATTATTGGTGAGTT